AGAACCAAGATGGCGGTAAACACCTGTACTCGCTGCCTCCCAAAACCACATCAAAATTACAACTAAAGCCCAACTGGCCTGGCTCAGTGGTTGAGTATAGACCTATGGACCAGGTCGCAGTTTGATTCCCTGACAGGGCACATGCCCAGGTTGTGGGCTCAATCCCCAATGTGGAGTGTTCAGGAGGCAGCCCCTCAATGATCCTCCCTCATCATTGATGTTTCTATCTCTCTCCCCATCTCCTTTCCTCTCTGAAATCAATAAAAAAATATATATATATTTAAAAATTACAACTATAATACAAAACCACCGTCATCCAGAACCACCTGCAAGCTGGCTGATGGGAATCCCACAGCTAGAGAAGAATGAGGCACGCTGAGCCTGGCAGGAGGGGCAGAGGCGCAGAACGGGCTGGTCCGACACCCACCAGTGGTGTGTTTTTAATCAGGAGGGAGATGGTCTCTGTGGAGGCCACCCATGAGGAGCAAGGGGTCCCAGCCCCACACCAGACCCCAGCCCAGGGCTCCATGGCAGGGAAGAGAAGGCCCCATAACTACTGGCTGTAAAAACCAGCAAGGACTGTGGCTCAGTGACATGGATGCCTCTGGAGACCCAGGTGTTCCTCTTAAAGGGCCAGCGCATGAACTTATTCAGACTTGATCCCTCTGAACTCCAGCACTGGGAGGAAGCTTTGGGGGATCCAGGGACATATGGGGAGGAACTGGACTGTCTGGCATCAGGGCAGGAACTCGGGGGCAGCTTTCTCCCAGGTAGGGGTGCTCACAGCGGTCATTGATCCTGTGCTGGGGCTGCCCCTGTGGCAGAGCTGACTGGCAGCCATATCTGACTTTCCACCAGCCTGGCCCACACTGTTGGCTCTGCCCTGGGGATTCCCTGTGGCCCCGCCCCATCCAATCTGCAACCCCACCCAAGCTGTTTGTAGCATATGAATGGCCTGTCCTGGCTCAGGCTGCACTTTGCTAAAATCTCTCAAACAAGCAGCAGCTGGTGTCAGCATGCCCCAAACCTATCAATAAGAGGCCCAAGACCCAGTACTAGCACCAGCCCACCTTGCTTCACAGCTGGGCCTTGCCTGGGCACCTCAAAGCCCAATACATGTAGCACCATTTGTAGATCCCTCTGTAGCCTGCCTGGTGGCCCTAGGCAGTGGCTGACTTTGCACCTCCCAGGAGGCCCCAGAGCCAGTGCACCTGGTGGACAGCTCAGACCATAGAAGATTACAACCCTACACATCCACAAGCAACACACTCAAGGGCCAGACTCAGTGAGCACCAAAGCCCCACTGAAGCAAGGCCTGCTCCATAGGGGTGTCTCCTGCACAGCAGATCTCCCACTGTAGTTGCAGCTAGTCCTCACAGCCAAGTTCGCCTGGAGGTCAATTCTTCGCAGTGATGACAACAGCAATCAAGGCTCAACTACAACAGGACTGTGCACACAGCCCACACAGGGCCACACCTAGAGTGCCCAGCTCAGGTGACTGGGGAGGCTGAGCCACTGGGCCCTACAGAACACCTACAACACAAGGCCACTCTACCAATCCCAGGAGACATAGCAGTTCTACCCAATACATAGAAACAAACACAGGGAAGCAGCCAAAATGTAGAGACAAAGAAACATGTCACAAATGAAAGTTTAGGATGGGCTTCTGGCTTTGACACATTTGTATGTGTAGGGAGGGGCTATAGGGTTAAGCCTCGGACTGAGTTGTTGACAAAGTCACAAACAAGTCCCAGCTTAGAGGGCACAGCCTTCTTAGCACAATTAGGCTTGACCTTATGACTGCTCCCTAGATCTTATCTGGGTAGCTAATGGGCTGAGGTAGATGCAGTAAGTGCTGCCAAAACAAGTGAAACTCACAATAACACTGTAACTATGGTGACCACTACCTTGTTTACCTCTGGCTATAAAATAAAGGCTCAGCTTGCGATCTGGATCTCTCTGTGGCCTCAGCCAGGCACAGGAAGATCCACCTAGACCAGTGGTCGGCAAACTGCGGCTCGCGAGCCACATGCGGCTCTTTGGCCCCTTGAGTGTGGCTCTTCCACAAAATACCGACTTCTGCGCATGGGCCACGAAGTTTCAATTGCACTGTACGTGCGTGCCCGCACATGGTATTTTGTGGAAGAGCCACACTCAAGGGGCCAAAGAGCCGCATGTGGCTCGCGAGCCGCAGTTTGCCGACCACTGGTCTAGGTGGATCTTCCTGTGCCTGGCTGAGGCCACAGAGAGATCCAGATCGCAAGCTGAGCCTTTATTTTATAGCCAGAGGTAAACAAGGTAGTGGTCACCATAGTTACAGTGTTATTGTGAGTTTCACTTGTTTTGGCAGCACTTACTGCATCTACCTCAGCCCATTAGCTACCCAGATAAGATCTAGGGAGCAGTCATAAGGTCAAGCCTAATTGTGCTAAGAAGGCTGTGCCCTCTAAGCTGGGACTTGTTTGTGACTTTGTCAACAACTCAGTCCGAGGCTTAACCCTATAGCCCCTCCCTACACATACAAATGTGTCAAAGCCAGAAGCCCATCCTAAACTTTCATTTGTGACATGTTTCTTTGTCTCTACATTTTGGCTGCTTCCCTTGGGTGGAGGGGAGCTATGGGGGAAAAAAGAGGAACAACTGTAATAATCTGAACAATAAAGATTTAATTAAAAAATAAAATAAAATTAAATTAAATTAAAAATCCTGATTTCTGGGCCCCATCCTCCGGAAATTCTGTTTCTTTGTTATGGGGTGGGGCCACAACATACACACTAATAAAAGACAAACATGCAAATTGACCGTAACTTCGCTACACCTTAAGCCACGCCCATCAGCCAATCAGAGCAACTATATGCAAATTAACCCAACCAAGATGGCAGCCGGCAGCCACGGAGCTGGAGCAAGCAGGAGGCTTAGCTGCCCCAGTGATGGAGGAAGCCAAGCTTTCCAGCTGCCGTGGCTGGCTCTGAGCTCCACTCAAAGCAACAAAGTTTCAATTATAGAAGATAAATAAACCCCAGATACCTGCTGTGGCCAAGGAAAGATTCCCAGGTGATTCTAATGTGCAGGCAAGGTTGAGAACCACTGACCTAGACCCAGGTTATTCTCTTTGTCTGTCTTTTCTACATCCTTCACCGGCCCCCGTCAGGCTCACCGAATGCTTGGCTGAGCTTGCCCGGCACAGTATGTGACACCTATTTAAATACATTTCATAGCAACTGCATCTGAAACTTCATCACTTGTCTAAATCAATGATGCAGCAAATGGACAGAGTAAACAGTGTAGATGCAGAAAGAAGCTCACGTGTTTCATCACTTGCAGAAAAGACCACCTGCAATGGAGAGGATCCAGAGACAGGGAAGCATGGAACAGAGTGGGGAATCTCAGAAGGTGGAGGTGGGAGGGTGAATGGATGGGAGGTAATCAATCAAGGACCTTATATGGATATATGCATGGCCCTTGGCCACAGACAATGGGTGGTGAAGGCCTGGGGCTGGGGGAGGGCCAGAGGTGGTCAGTGGTGGAAAAAAGGATTGTTAATACTTTTAACAATAAAGAATTATTTAAAATACATAAGTTTCCCACTAAGTGTGTGCATGTGGGGGGGAGGCGGGAGAGGGCGGAGGACTGCTTTACAGAGAACAAGCATCTGAGACTTCTTCTTTGCCTCCACTGAGTGGATATGGGGTTTCCTTGGGAGGGAGACAGACTCCTTCCTGTGGGTCATTGAGGCTTTGAGTTCTACAGTGAAGTCCCTGTTCTTTGAGGGTGAGTTGATTAAAAAAGAAAAATTTGGACCCATCATTCTTAATTAACTTCTCTGTGACCCAGCTAGAGGATTTATTACAGATGAGTTTGCAGTTGACTTTTGTTACACAGTGTGTTTTCTATGGGGAAGGATGGAAAACACAACCAGATAGGAGTTGGGTGTTCTGAATTCTCATTCAAGCCATATCACTCTGGGCAAGGCACCTGAGACTGTTAATCCTGAATTTCCTCAACTTGTTATTATCAACATTTGGAGTTTTTGTTAAAATAAAATGAGGTGATGGATCTGATAATATATTACAAATTGTAAAGTTTTTTTTTTCTTTAACAAAGTATTATTTTAAGTCATTATTAGCAAACCCACAAATATGACTTCAAGAAAGTGGTAATCAAGCACAAATGAAGAGCTGGACCTGAGTTCTGAAACCCAAACTGAGACACCTCATCCACTAGGTACATGTATTGATAATGGAATATAGAACTTGTCAGAGACACCTCAACAAGTCAAGTTACCCTAACCCAAACCACAAGTGGTCAGACCACAGTGCTCCTCCCATTTTGCCTTACTTTCATTCAGAACTAACTAGAACTAGTTACACTTGCAGAAGAACTGCAAGTCTCAATGAAACTTCTTCTAAAAGAGGGGTAAGGTAACTTGTCTATAAAGCACCAAATAGTAAATATTATTATTATTGTTATTTTTAAGTATATTTTATTTATTTCAGAGAGGAAGGGAAAGGAAGCTGCTGGGGTGGGGGGCAGGCTGGGGGGGGTCAATGGGGCAAAAAGGGGACATATGTAATACTTTCAACAATAAAGAATTATTAAAAAAAAAAAAGACCACATGCCTCGGCGGGAGGGCTCCCTCAGTGCAGACTCTGGTACAGTAGGTGAGAGAGCTGTACCCTGTTCATTCACACTGGGGATGGGGTGGGATAGTAGCCGACATACAGACGTCCCACAATACAAAGCTAGATGGATGATATCTACTCACCTTGCAAAAATGTGACAAACCAGTATGACTCATTGGGCACCAATTGAAGCCATTTGCATGTTGTCATACCTTTTCTCATGTTCCCTACGAGACGTGTAAAAGAAACTACTATTGGAACCCTGGGTGCCCCTAAATTTATTAGGGTTTTACTCCTGAACAGCCTCACGGCAAGAGAGACAACTGCCTGCAAGGAAATCACTTTATTTTTCTGCAAAAGTGCTGGCAGGTTTCTTACCTTCGCAAACAGTCCGTCAGTGTAGTGGTTCCAGACGCATGGCTTTCCCCGTTCACCACACTGCCCTCACTCCCAGGGCTCAGGGGCCAGAATGGGGAGGAAGAGCCAGGCAGATCTAAACTGATGTCCCAGAAGGGGTCTATTGTGGTCGAGACTCCACTAGAAGCAGGAGACAGAAAACCAAAGTGAGAACTGATACCCACAAACAGTTTCGGAGGTACCACCTCATGGAATATACCCCAACATCTTTTCACAGCTCTGCCCTTTTTCTTTTCTTTTCTTTTTTTTAATATATTTTTATTGATTTCAGAGAGGAAGGGAGAGGGAAAGAGAGATAGAAACATCAATGATGAGAGAGAATCATTGATCGGCTGCCTCCTGCAAGTCCCCCAATGGGGACCGACACTGCAACCCGGGCATGTGCCCTTGACCAGCATCGAACCCAGACACCCTTCAGCGTGCAGGCTGACACTCTATCCACTGAGGCAAACTGGCTAGGGCCTCTTTGTCTTTTTTTAAAGATATATTTTTATTTATTACAGAGAGGAAGGGAAAAGGAGACAGAGAGAGAAACATCTATACTAATAAAAGGGTAATATGCTGCCAGAACTGGTTTGGCTCAGTGGATAGAGCATCAGCCTACTCAAGGGTCCGTCCCGGGTTTGATTCCGGTCAAGGGCATGTACCCGTCGGCCTGCGGACTCAAGGGTCCCAGGTTCAATTCCAGTCAAGGGCATGTACCTTGGTTGTGGGCACATCCCCAGTGGGGGGCGTGCAGGAGGCAGCTGATTGATGTTTCTCTCTCATCGATGTTTCTAACTCTCTATCCCTCTCTCTTCCTCTCTGTAAAAAATCAATAAAATATATATTTTTTAAAAAAGGGGTAGTATGCTAATTAGACCGGGAGACCTTCAGGGAGACCTTCCGGACGTCCTTTGGGACAAAGCCATGGTGGCAGGGCTGAGGCAGAGGCAGTTAGGGGCGATCAGGCCTGCAGGGGGGAGGGGCAGTTGGGGATGAGCAGGCCGGCAGTGGGGGGCAGTTGGGGGCGAGCAGGCTGGCAGTGGGGGGCAGTTGGGGGCGAGCAGGCCGGCAGGCAGAGTGTTTAGGGGCGATAAAACAGGCAGGCAGGTGAGCGGTTAGGAGCCAGTGGTCCCGGATTGCAAAAAGGATGTCCCAGATTGGAGAGGGTGCAGGCCGGGCTGAGGGACACCCTCCTCTGCCCCCTCACCCCCGTGCACAAATTTCGTGCACTGGGCCACTAGTCAATGATGAAAGAGAATCATTGATCAGCTGCCTCCTGCACACCCCCCTGCTGGGAATGGAGCCCGAAACCTGGGCAAGTGCCCTGACTGGGAATCTAATTATGACCTGGTTCATAGGTCCACGCTCAACCACTGAGCCACTGCCGGCTGGGCCACAGCTCTGCCCTTTTATCCAAATGACTTCTCAGGTGTGCTCACACCCAATGCATCTTGGGCTCCCAGGGCCCTAGGGAAAGACACTGTGCAAACCACTCAAAACAAAGTCTGCTCCTAAAGCAACAGTTTCTATACCCAGAAGATGAGCACCATCGTTTTAGGTTTATTCTGGGCCCCACATCTAGAGTTTCTGAATCAATGGATCTCTCACCCAAGTGGCCTTGGGAACTGGGAGCTGCTGAGCCTGGATAGTAACTCACACCCCAAGTGCACTTCACACAGAGTGCCCTACCCACAGCTTCCCAGGCTTAACAGTAGCACCAGCTAATTCCCTCCCAGAGATTTATTTCAAAACTAGAGGCCCCGGTGCATGACATTTGTGCAGTGGTGTGTGTGTGGGGCAGGGGGCAGAGGAGTGTGTCACTCTGAAGTACTTCCTGGTTTCCTTTCCCATTTGCTTATCACCATGATGGTCCATTTCCAACCTGCAGACTGTGGTGTTCTGAGAAGTTCTCAAAGTCTTTGGATTGTTGAGCGTAAAGTGTTGTCAAGGCCCTGGCTCTCCTGGCTGTGTCTACAGCACCGCCATATGGGAGACCGGGTGCGTTTTATTTCGGCCGCCACTGGCACATGGGGGATAATACAGCTCCAGTGGTGAAGGCACCAGAAATTAGCAGGTCCCCTGACTGTGCAGGCCATCAGGGTAGGGTCCCAGGCTGTGGGCTTTGGTGTGGCCTCTGCACTGTGCACACGGAGCAGGTGAGCTGTAGGCTCCCCCCACACCCCTGCTTTCTTTAGGGCCTTGGAGCCAGGAGCCAGGTAAAGGGCCCCTCAAAGACGGACATATGTGCTCTTGAGTGTGTCACTCTGAAGTACTTCCTGGTTTCCTTTCCCATTTGCTTATCACCATGATGGTCCATTTCCAACCTGCAGACTGTGGTGTTCTGAGAAGTTCTCAAAGTCTTTGGATTCTTGAGCGTAAAGTGTTATCAAGGCCCTGGCAACATGAAAAGGTATGACAACATGCAAATGGCTTCAATTGATGCCCAATGACTCATACTGGTTTGTCACATTTTTGTAAGGTGAGTAGATATCGTCCATCTAGCTTTGTATTGTGGGACGTCTGTATGTCGGCTACTATCCCACCCCATCCCCAGTGGGGGGGCAGCCTCAGCCTGGCCTGTGCCCTCTTGCAGTCCAGGACCCCTCAGGGAATGTCCGGCTCACTGCTCTTTAGCGCTGCCTCGGAGGCAGGAGAGGCTCCCACCATCGCCACTGCGCTCGCCAGCTGTGAGCCTGGCTTCTGGCTGAGCGGCGCTCCCTCTGTGGGAGCACACTGACTACCAGGGGACAGTTCCTGCATTGAGCATCTGCCCCCTGGTGGTCAGTGCACATCATAGCGACCGGTCACTCGCCTAGCCTTTTATTTTATAGGATACACAAACAGGAAATTCACAGATTGAGAAACTGAATACATAAATGTAAACAGGCTCTACTCTGACAGTCTCCTGCTGATCGAGTTCAATAGTATAGGGCCAAATAGTAAAGCCTGAGCCCCAACTGCTGGGAGTGATGGCCCATGATACAGATGCTACTTAACAGAAAACTGCATCTGTAACTCTTACAGGCTAAACTGACTCCTTGCCAATCTCTTCTATCCTATACAAACTGCAAGTAGTAATCCATTACAGGTTTTTAAATTTTACTGGAGCATGACCAGGCTTTTTTAAAAGTTGAAGTGAGCCCTGGCTGGTGTGCCTAAGTGGTTAGAGCATAAGGGTTGTGGGTCGATTCCTGGTCAAGGGCACGTTCCTGGGTTGCAGGTTCAATGCCCGGCCCAGGTCGGGGTGCATGTGGGAGGCAACCAATCAAGGTGCCTCTCACATGTATGTTTCTCTCTCCCTCTCCCTCTCTCCCTCCCTCCTTTCCACTCTCTCTAACAATCAATGGAAAAAATATACTCAGGTGAAGATTAACAAACAATTAAAAAAAAAAGCTGAAGAGAAATAAAAACCATGGGAGTGCACTGAAGGTGAAGGAACGCGTTTTTCTAACGTCATCACCAATGCACTCTCCTCCTAGAAATAAAAGCTTTGAGCTCTAAGCACAGAACCAAAACCTATGAAGGAAGGATTTAGGGACACTACTTGGGAGAAAATGGGAAAGGAAACCAGGAAGTACTTCAGAGTGACACACTCAAGAGCACATATGTCCGTCTTTGAGGGGCCCTTTACCTGGCTCCTGGCTCCAAGGCCCTAAAGAAAGCAGGGGTGTGGGGGGAGCCTACAGCTCACCTGCTCCGTGTGCACAGTGCAGAGGCCACACCAAAGCCCACAGCCTGGGACCCTACCCTGATGGCCTGCACAGTCAGGGGACCTGCTAATTTCTGGTGCCTTCACCACTGGAGCTGTATTATCCCCCATGTGCCAGTGGCGGCCGAAATAAAACGCACCCGGTCTCCCATATGGCGGTGCTGTAGACACAGCCAGGAGAGCCAGGGCCTTGACAACACTTTACGCTCAACAATCCAAAGACTTTGAGAACTTCTCAGAACACCAGTCTGCAGGTTGGAAATGGACCATCATGGTGATAAGCAACATCCAGTGAAGTCAGTTTCCCGAAAGAACCGGGGCCCACAGTGTGGGACAGCAAGCAGGGCCTGGGAGGACCCAAGATGCGCAAGACCCTGCGAAGCCTCCACTTACTGGCAGACCTGGCAGGTGACGTCCGACTGCAGTCCCCCGGTGAAGATCTGGTCTATGATGCAGTTGCAGTGGTTGGGGTTGCTGGCCTTCTTCCCATTATCATCACCTGGGGAAAGATTGCAGCTCTGTGATCCACATCTGTGCCCCCCAAGACCCCCAAAGCCAGCAAGTTTCCAAAAGCCACAGACCAAGGGACAAGGCCATTCGAGCACAGAGGCATTATGAAGCCTGAGGTGAAGGGCAGGTGAAGATACTTAATATTCAAAAGACGGGTGTGGCCAGGAAGCTGGAAGCTAAGCTGATATGCTTAGCTTCCACCTTAGTACCAAAGTGTATCAAATGCCCAGTATCGGGGAAAGTGACTGGCTCCTTTCCCACTTACAGAGGACTAAGTGTGCACTTCCTAGCGAGCGGCCTGACACACTGTGGGGAATACTCCTGGGAAGTGGCCTTGCTTCCGGGACCGTCCCTGCAGGACTCCCGCTCAGTGTTCCTCAGGGGTCCCCACGCCTGGAGCTGCAGGTCAGCTCTGCTCCAGCCAGATGTACAAGCACAATTCCCACCCTCTCCAGGGCAATGCCAGGGTGTTTGCAGGGAGCCTGGAACAGCATGGGCTTGAACTGCCCAGGCCCACTCACATGCACAGTTCAAACCCACGCTGCTCAAGGGTCAGCTGAGGGTGGACATCCGAGAACGTTGAGGGCCGACTTAGGTTATACTCAGAATTCCAACTGCACAGGCAGTTGGCACCCCCATGTTTAAGGGTCAAGTGTATATAGGGTGGGGCAAATTACAGCTGTGTGTATGCAACAGGTTATTCTTTTTTTAAAATAGTGCTCTTTGCAAATGTTTTTAAGTTTATTTTTATTGATTTTTTTTTTAGAAAGATAGAAACAATAATGAGAGAGAAACATAGATCAACTGCCTCCTTTATGGCCCCCCCTGTGCATCAAGCCTGAAATCCAGGCATGTGCCCTGACCAGAATAGAACCGGCGAACCCGCTCCCACCCCTTTTTTGCTAATCCTCACCGGAGGATATTTTCCCATTGGTCTTTAAGGGGAAGTGGAAGAGAGAGGGAAAGACAGAGAGAAAGACATCGATTCGTTGCCTCCCTGCACGAGCCCTAACCAGGGCCCAGGCTGGGGAGGAGCCTGCAACCAACATACATTACCTTGACCAGAATCGAACCCAGGACCCTTTGGTCCAAAGGTCGACATTCTATCCACTGAGCCAAACTGGCCAGGGAGAACCAGTGACCTCTTGGTCAAATGCTCAATCCATTGAGCTAGACCAGCTGGGCTACACGGTTTATTCTTGTATGATTTATTAATTATTGTATTATTTTCCAAACAAACTGTAAACCTACTTTTGCCCCACCCTGTACATATTTGTGTAGATATACAAATGTAAAACTTATATGGTTAACTATAGTACATATTAACATACTAGAGGCCTGGTGCACAAAAATTTGTGCACTTGGAGGGGTCCCTCAGCCCAGCCTGTGCCCTCTTCAGTCTGGGACCCCTCGGGGGATGTCCACCTGCTGGCTTAGGCCTGCTCCCAGGGGAACGGGCCTAAGCTGGCAGTCAGAAATCCCTCTGGCAGCCCGGCAGCCCTCGGGGCATGTCCACTTTCCAGTGGGGAGCAGGCCTAAGCTGCAGTCGGACATACTTAGCGCTGCTGAGGAGGTGGGAGAGGCTCCTGCCATCACTGCTGTGCTGGCAACCATTAGCCTGGCCTGTATCTGAGCAGAACTCCCGCTGTGGGAGCGCACTGACCACCAGGGGGCAGCTCCTCTATCAAGCATCTGCCCCCTGGTGGTCAGTGTGTGTCATAGTGACCAGTCATTCCCAGTCGTTCTGCTGTTAGGGTCAGTTTGCACATTACCCTTTTACTATATACGACAGAGGCCTGGTGCACGGGTGGGGGCTGGCTGGTTTGCCCTGAAGGGTGTCCCAGATCAGGGTGGGGGTCCCGCTGGGGTGCCTAGCCAGCCTGGGTGAAGGGCTGAGGGCTGTTTTCAGGCTGGCCACACCCCCTTCAGGGTGGGGGTCCCCACTGGGGTGCCTGGCCAGCCTGAGTGAGGGGCTGATGGCTGTTTGCGGGCTGGTCATACCCCCTTCAGAGTGGGGGTCCCCGCTGGGGTGCCTGGCCAGCCTGGGTGAGGGGCTGATGGCTGTTTTCAGGCTGGCCACAACCCTTTTAGGGTGGGGGGTCCCCACTGGGGTGCCTGGCCAGTCTGGGTGAGGGGCTGAGGGCCGTTTTCAGGCTGGGCACAGCCGCGGGCTGGAAGCAGCTATCTGGGATTTATTTGTCTTCTATAATTGAAACAGTGGAGCTCAGGGCTGGCAGGGCAGGAGGGAAGCTTGGCTTCCTCCATCACCGGGGCAACCCAAGCCTCCTGCTCACTCCAGCTCCATGGCTGCCACCATCTTAGTTGGGTTAATTTGCATACCCGCTCCTGATTGGCTGGTGGGCATGGCTGATAGGCGTGGCTTGTGGGGGTAGCAGAGGGATGGTTAATTTGCATGTTTCTCTTTTATTAGATTAGATATCCTCCATCTTCTATATGACTTTCATTCCACTGGACAACAGGACTAGCACATGTGTCCCCCTGGAGATATCACACAGAAAAGGTGAATTGTCACGAGGAATGTAAAGGGCGCCACGGCCTTCTGACACAGCTGCCTGGAGAGATCGGGAGGAAATGCCATCCACAAGGATCTCAAATGCATGGAACAGAACATTAGGAAGCAGAAAATACATAGATGCAAAGAAAAAGGAGCTGAAACATACTTGAGGTCCCAACCCCGTAAAAGAGCAACGTAAAGCAGGTGGGGGTGCCTCAGGCCCCGGCCGCCCCACAGCTGTGAGCCAGCAGCCTCCATGAGCTCAGAACTCAGGTGGCCCGGCTTCTGAGTGAGCCTCACGTGGCTCCCCAGGCCTTTCAGAGGAATCCTGTCATAAGGAGGCCTTTTTCGTCACATGAACACTCAACAGCTGTGCATGCTCCAGCCCTCTCCTCAGCGCTGTCACAGCCCCCAAGTGGGGCTCCTTCACTGGCTGGTCTGCCTGCACAGCAGCTGTGCATTATGCTGGGAAACCAAACCTCACCTACGCTCCTAAGCAACTTCTACTTGGTTCCTGGGCAAATGTTAAAAGGATAATACATATGCTTTTAAGAGAAAAAATCTTAAGTGAAAAGAGCTCCAGCCCAGAGCCAGGACAGCTGACCCCAATGGGCTGTCTGAGCTGGAGCCTCGGATCCACAGGGCGTCTGAACAGCCCAGACCCAGAGCCTGAGGGGAGCATGAAGGCTGTTCCACCAAGTGACCTAGAAAAGCAGGCTTGTTCTTAAAGGACACCATGTACTAGCGAGAGAAAGCTGGCCAGTAAGAGGTCCCCTGCAACGAGGTACCCCAGCCCAGAGGCCACAGGTCACGGGCAGCTTGTGCCCTCAGCACACGTTGGTCACAGCTGAGAGTCAGCTGAGCCAGCAGCACCACCAGGAACCCTTAGGAACCAAACTCCGCTGCCCTCACCCAGGCCCACCACACAGGAGGTCAACTGTGTGCTTCAGGGGCCCCCAGCCCCTCGGATGGGAATTGTTAATCCACTTCAACTGGGGCTGCACCGGGCGACCCACACAGGGAGCCCCACACAGGGAGCAAGGCAGGGGGAGGAACCCCCCTTGGTGTGTTACTCAGGCCTCATCTCCTGCCTCCAGCCCTAGGAGCTGCTGCCGGCTGCCCCTCCCCTAGACCCACACGTATCTGAGAACCCTACATGTTCCAGTGAGCCCCTAAGCAAGACCTAACAGTGGTTCTCAACCTTCCTAATGCCGCGACCCTTTAATACAGTTCCTCATGTTGTGGTGACCCCCAATTTCATTGTTACAAATTGAACACAATTAAAGCATAGTGATTAATCACAAAAACAATATGTAATTATATATGTGTTTTCCGATGGTCTTAGGTGACCCCTGTGAAAGGGTCATTCGACCCCCAAAGGGGACGCGACCCACAAGTTGAGAACCACTGACTTAGAAGGAAAGCCCCTGAAGGGAAATGAGCCTGACTCAGGGCCAGGGGGGTCCTGGCAGATGCAGGTGCAGTGCCGTGTGCACAGCTCTCTGTGGCTTTAGAGCAACGCTGGTCTTCCTGGAAGCCCCACACGGGAGAGGACTCTATGGCTAAGCTGTGCTGAGAGCCCATGCAAAGCTGCTGGCTGAGGAGCTGCAGCAGTTGGGGAGGGGGGGGGTGGGGGGGGGCGCGGACCCGGCAGCCAAGGACTCAAGGCAGAGGGACAGGGAGAGAAGGGTGGGGAGAGAGGAGCAGGGAGAGAGGAGGGGGGAGAAAGGGACAGGTGCTCACTGTTGACCGGCACAGGCTGCCAAGGACCACTGGTTATGCTGCTCTACCCCCAGGAGGGTCGGAAGACAACACTGAAAACTATTGCTCCTCTTGAGAAAACAAACTATAAAGAACCTCTTTAGGGTAATTGCAGTTTTTCTTATTGGGGGAAACAAATCCAATTTGAACATGTGGGCTGCGCCCCGTTGTGCAGAAGCGCACACTTGCCCTCCACCGCCCCCACCCCGTGAGTAGACGCAGGCCCCACCTTTGCAGTGCCTCCCCCCACCCCCTGTGTACCCCACCTTTGCAGTGCCGGTGCAGCACATCCAGGGCGGCTATGAGGAACTCGTGTGCGTCCTGCTGCTCGTACCCTGCCAGGTGCCGGGCGTGCGTCCACACCAGGTGCAGCAGCTTGTATGGGATGTGGGGGGAGCGGTGCCCCGAGTAAAACTGCACAGAGAAGGAAACAAACCACTCGTCAGGAACAAGTGCTGCACTATGCATGGATAAGCGCGCACGCGCATGCGCGCACACACACACACACACACACACACACACTCACACACACACGAAAACACTTAGCTGCCTGGAATGTCCACTTCCTGGACTTCCTGAGCCTGAGTATCGTTTTCGATAAGCCTAGGTGTTGAGTTACGACATGTCTGTCAAGAGAAACAGATCTATACACTAACAGGTGAATTCTGCTGCTTCAAAAATGTACCTTAATAAACCTGATCCTATTTGAATTAATCAACCGAAGTGCCCAGGGAAAATGCTGAAACCCACACCTAAAGGTGACACACCCACCCAGTCGTTTCTCACTTAAACCCGTCTTCCTCCTGTGTGGGCCCAACAAATTCATTCAGGGTGCTCACTGCTGTGGTCCCAGCAGCCACTGGCTCGCTGTGGGCGTGAGGGAAACAGGCCAGATGGTCAATGGCTCCAGCTTTGCAGGCCAGGTGGTCTCGGCAGCAATTGTCCACTAGTCCCACCTCCTCTGATGCAGCGTAAAAGCAGCCGTGCCCAGGATGTGGGAGAGCGGGCACGGCAACACTGCCATCAAAGGCGATCAACAAACAGACCAGGCCGTCTGCAGGCTCCTGTGTGAGACACCTGGAGCCCATGTAGACCATCCCAGCAGCCTGTGGGTGGGCAGCAGTCCGTTCTGTAGTTGGGTGGCTGAGCTGCTTGAGCTCTGAGAGGCTTTGCTGAGGTTGCCAACCTGAGTGCCAATGGTCCACCCAAGGTGCTAGGGCGGTCACACCACCAGTGCTGGTCAGGGACAGACATGGACAGCACAGGATGAGTGTCGCCCATGATCCAACCCGGGAGCAGAGACTGGTGAGAGGACAGACAGGATGCTGCACTCAGAATGCCCAGCAACAGGAGAGATCCATGCTCCTGAGACAGGGCAAGGAAGTGATGCACACATGTCCACACACCCGACTGCACGCCAGGTGGCAGACGACAGGGAGGGGTCAGTACTCGCGGACCATTATCAGCCTCCTCTCATTCCCTAAGTCACCTTCGTGCCAATGGTCAATCGTCTCCTATCTAATGATTCTTTTTGGAAAGACGTAAGCCTTCCACAATGAACACGCCTTCCTTTATCCTATTGCAGGCAACCGTTTTTCTTAAGGGAAAGAAAAAACCACGTAGTTTCAGGAGCGCTCTGTGCACGTGCAGCTCACCTCCTGGAAGAGGGAGGACATCTCGCACACCAGGCAGGAGCTGGGGCTCTGCATCTCGCAGCGGTGCCGGTCTGAGAGGAAGAAGTCGCGCAGCAGCGGCGTGTGCGTGAGCGCCTGCACGATGCAGTTCATGAAGCACGTGTTGCCCAGGTTGATCAGCCCTCGCAGCCCTGGGGGGCAGACGGGAGGCGGTGACAGGGCACTGGCCTGCAGGACTGACTCCAGGGTACCACAAGCTCCTTCACATTCACGTGTCTGCTTCCCTTTACTCATCCATTCAGGAAGAAATTTAATATTTTTATGCCACTTTTATGTAAACTATACTGAGGAATGTTCGTCACCATCACTCCCCAACCCTTAGCCCCCACTTTAGCCATTGTTTTTGACAAAGTTACCCTAAGATAGTCTTTTTATTTATTGATTTCAGAGAGGGAGAGGGAAAGAGAAACATCAATGATGAGAGAGCATCATTAATAGGCTGCCTCATACACGCCCCCTACTGGGGATCGCGCCCACAACCCAGGCATGTGCCCTTGACCAGAATCGAACTTGGGACCCTTCAGTCTGCAGGCTGACGCTCCATACACTGAGCCAAATCGGCTAGGGCCTAAAGATGTTCAGGCAACAAGACAAGTCAGAATGGAGCCTCTCTAACAACAAAAATAGCTTTTAAAAAAGCTTCTATTTCTTCAACTGTTAGGAAACCCAGAGGAAAATTCACACATATCACTGTACACAGCCTCAACTTGGTGAGAGTACACCTGAGCCTTTGCACACGGGGACTTTCAGGGGTAGCAACTGTTCTCCCCATCCCTGCACCCCAAGCCTGCTCCAGGAGCTCAAGAGGTGGCTGGTGAGAGAATGGGAGAATGAGTTATTCAGGGCAGGGCATAGGGCACTGTGCTATGAAACCATTTTTTACAATAATGTTAACCCTCAGCAAGAAGCCTAACTGGGAGTAACCACAGACCAGTGCCAGCACTGCCACCCACCTATGGTGCAGTTGGAGGTGATCTTCCGCCGTTTGGGGTTGTGTTTCAGCAGCTCGAGCTCCCGCTTGCTGGGTTCCCATGTTGAAAACTTCTCTCCCACACCTACAGAGGAGACAGGCCCGGCGCTCTGAGTTGAATCTGAAACGAGTGTGCTTAGGGGCACATGGCGGTGATGTACTATTGTCAGGCTTCAAAGGTATTTCAAAGAGGAACAGCCATACTCTAAGGATAAAGCCTGTTTGGCTGCGACAGGCTGAACCACACGAAGGAGTTTCTCAGAGGCTGTGCTGTGAATGAGCTGCTTCCTGCAAGGAAAGCAACGCCCCCATGAAAGCAGTCCAGCTCCAATGCCAGGGCCTTCCCAAGCCTCACCCCTGAGCAGAGCCCACAGCCTCAGCGCCCGGGGAGTGCACAGCAGTTTAGATGAGGGATTCTCCGGCCAATGAGCAAAACTGATAGAACATGGATTTTTAAAAATATATTTTGAAAAATATATCTTGTTGAGATGTACCCTTTAAAGATTTAAACCGAAGACAAAGCTGTAAATGCTAGTAAATGTCACATCTCACCTACCACACCCCATGTCCACACAGGCACTTGCTCCGTGCCCCCAAACGCCTGCACAGTGACCGACAGGACAGCACCTGGCGGACTGAGGGCCCTGCAGCGAGGCCTGCGGAGGATTGGTTTGCTCCGCACTTGCAGGCCGTGGCCCTGTGGTCAGTGCTCTGCACAGAGAAACAGCCCCTCAGACCCCGGGCAATGCTACTCCACTTCCGAGGGGAAAGAGTAGGAAGTTGCAGTTACAGTCGTTCTCCAGAGAAGATCTGTTAGACACAAGGAATTCTGATCACACCCGTGCCTGTGCTTCCTTTCTCAAAAACAAGGGGCTGTTTGTAAAGCAGAGCACGCAGGCCAGTTCTGTGAGCCGATGTGGCTACGCTCTCTCTGTAAACACTGGCGGGCTGCCGGCTGAGACAAGCTCACCAGCCACATGGGGGCACGCTCCATCGCTGTCCTAACAGCACCAGCACACATTGGAAATGAAAACTAATAAAGGGGGGAATCAGGGTGACCAAAAAGAAATGCCTGAACAATTCAGAAAATGGGTGCACTCGCTTGTGTGTGTCCCTGCCTCTATGCCCGACGAAGACGTGTATGTGGGTGGAAGCCACGCAGACAGAAGCCCACAATGGCAGCAGCCGCAAGGCCCTGCACAGAGGGTGCTGTGGAAGTGGCGGACTATTACAGTTTCCATCTGGCAATCTTAATTCCGCTAACAGAGATTAAACATAACCCAAACAGTTAAGTTTTAAAAGAGATTCTATAATAATTTAATCAGAAAGCAGTCTGCCCTTCTGAAAGAAGCCAGGTACCTACATTTTTTGGCCAGAGCTGTCTATTTTTGTTTTAGAACACAGACTGACATAAAATAATTATTAATTTTCCAAATTCTTAACCATTTCATAAATAAGTTAACATTTTACAGAATGTTGCATTAAATAAGATAAAAAGATACACATCTATTTTGCCTGGAGCAAGCTGGAGGAAAATACTTGCAGGACTCCTATGTCTGAACTGTATCTAGAGCGTTCTGTCCTGTGCTTCCTGCGTTGGTGAGGTGAAGGAGCAGCATGCCTGAAAGGATGCCACCGGGGCCCAGAAGTTTACTTACCTGAAGAGAAGGCCCTGCCCTGGCTGGCCCAAGTTCTCATGGTAATAAAACATCCTCTCCTCCCCAAATCCTTCGCTACAATGAGCCCGTTTAGTCTCAACTTCCCGTCCACTCCGCATGCATCACCCAGGGAAGACCTGCAGGCCAGCTAGGAACTCTCTTACTCTCATCACCCCTTCGCACTCCCCGCAGTCTATGTGCTCTTTTATTGAAGACGCGTTTAAGAGAGTTTTCCCACGCATCCCTCTGCAGTTTGATGCCTTAACATGTCAATCCCTGAAAGACTTCTTCAGGGCACAGCTGGTGGTTTTTACGTTCAGGAGTAGGAACTATCTGGTTCTGGAGTGTTCAAAATGCTGAGTAGGATGAGAGGCGTTCCCAACGGCTCCGTCCTTGGGGCCCAGGAAGGGCCTATCCTCTCCTCCAGGGGCAGCCCAGGCACATACACGTTTAATATCACTGAGGCGAGCCCGCTCTCTGGAATCTTGGAGAGGGAGGCAGACTGCTCATGGGGACCCAGTGCTGTCCCTGTGACTGTGCCGCAGACGGGAGAACTAAGTGTGGGTGCACATTTTCTCTCAAGCCCAGCAGAGCCCCCCAACAGCCACAGGCCCTGGGGGCCCAGGGCAAGGACAGCTCTGGGAGGCTGTGAGACTGATGGGCCTCTGCACCTGAGGGCAGCCTGCAGCCCAGGTTGCCTCCGCGGGGCCTGCAGGAGGGAGCTGCCCACAGGAGGGAGGCACCATTGTCTGTGGGGGAAGGGGACAGGGTGTTGTCTTTCCAGCAAATAGCAAAACTCCAGCTGCTACCCTACCTGCCCTGCCTCCCAGCACGGCCCCTCCCTAGATAACTGGTCTTCCTCTTGGTGAGCTTCACCCTGATGGGCGTGAGGAATGCAGGGCAGGGAAGCCAGGGGGCAGGGAAACCGAGGCGAGACCCACCTTGCAGTTTCCAAGCTTTCCGCTGCTCCTCCTTGGCGATGGTCTCCATGTCCTTGTCATAGATGTAGTCCTGGCACAGGAAGCAGTAGATGCCTCCATACATCAGTTCTATGGCTGAAAAGACAAGGAAGAACGAGAGACAAAGGAATGAAAGATGAAAGGTAATGCTTCAGAACACGTATCAGATACCCAGGGCTTCAGGCACGGGCTGTGGGCAGCATTTCCCACTCTCCAGTCGCAAAGCCCTGTCACTGCAAAGGTCTCGCTCCGCCCACTTCAGAAGGCATGTACCACACAGACGACGCGGGCCTCTCTCCTCGAGACACTCCCCACAGGCTGAGGTGCCACATCCATAGTTTAAAAAGAACCCAATAGTCAAGTATCTGAAAGAGTAACATTTAAAACAAGGGAAACTCTCATTGCGTTTTAAATCAGAATTCTTGCCCTGACATGCAGTAACCATGCTTTCCTACATCTGGAATCCCGGTCCTATTACAAAAAGGAACGCAGGGATTGTTTCCTGCTCTTATTTTGAGGAGAGCAGTCAGTTACCCTCTGACCAAACAGTGCTGACTTCTTGACCAGAGCTGCCTGTTACCCACCTCGAGTGGGTCCTGTGCACTTTCCCAATCTCTGTAAAATAGGGAGACAGCGGACTCCAAATTAGCTCATTATAAAGATAAATAAGATGAAGCCCTTTGAGCAATGGACAATTGAATTGAATGAATCTCAATTCAACAATTTAAAGGAATTATTTTGGCTTGGAGTCAACAAGCATTATTAGAGATATGAGAGGCAATAGCATGGAGGGAACAGCACAAATTTAGAGTAACTGGTCATTTAGAGCTCTGCATTGGTAGTTATGTTCTTTGATAAATTACTTCCCCCCGAGCCTGTCCCCCTCTGGTATTATGGGGCAGCGACAGCACGGACACCTCCCAGTCCTGTATGGTAACTGATCAGCGCATGTACACCGGCGGCACCTCCTGGTGCGCAGCCACATCCTAGCGCAGCTCTTCCCAGTCCGTCTCCCGTGACCACGACTCAGCTCAGCAGCACTGGCAGGCCTGCCAGGTCCTCTGAAACAGGCCCATTACAACACACCTAGCAGGACAGGAACCCCACGCCTCCCCTTTACCCTCCCCAACACTGAGACTCCGACACTCTCTGCAAGTCCGAGCACTCAGCCAGCGCCCTTGTCACCACAGGCTAACGGCACAGTCCTGCATGGGGATACCCATGGGACAAACTAAAGAAGGAGAATAAACGTTTTCAGAAAAAGCAAAGGCATTCTATGAAAAATACGCCAAGCAGACAGCCTGGGAGAGGGGTACCACTGCTCAGTGTGTGTTCGCATGCTCCAGGGGAGTCCTTCTTTGAGGCGCTTTCCACAGCAACAGCTCATCACCGCGGAAACCAACGTGGATGGATCAACAGTGGGCAGGACAGGCTTCTCAACCAAACGGTGCTGGGACAACAAGGTCTCCACAGGCCAGAGTGAGGCTGGACCCTCACCCGACCCACAAACACTGACTCAAACTGGACCTGTGACCCAAACACAAGAGCTAGTACATTAGCCTGAGAGACGCAGGAGCAAGTCTTTATGGACCGACATATCAAACACCACGAGCACCAGAGGGAAAAGGATAAACTGGGCTTCATCCAAACTGAACTCTGTGCATCAAAGACACACTAAGAAAGGGGAGCGACCCCTACAGGACGGAACATCATCTGCAGATTGTGAATATGAGAGGATTGACTCTCCTCCACATCCTGTCACTTGCAGGCACGTCCCAGAGAGGAAGACATCGTGCACACAGCAGCTTCTACACGATGGGTTATCATGGCACTGTTCATAAGAACCAACCCAACGTCTCTCAATGGACGAATAAACAGACTGTGGTAAAGCTCCACAACAGGCGTACGAAGAAATCTGCTTCAGCCATACAAAGGAATGATGGTGGAACCTCAGTTCTCAAACTTCATTCATTCCGGAGGCTGTTAGAGAAGCTATATGATCGAAAACTGAACCATCTTTTATGTACTGGAATTCATCTTTTATCTTATGTAATTTTCATCTATTCATTTTTTATCTAATGTAATTCCCTTTACCTAATGTAATCCAATTTTATCTAACATAAATGGGATGAACCCATTCCTGACCCCCAAATGATTCCCTTTTAACCTTACTTATATACAGTTCAATGTTAACGTACAGTTCAATCTATAAACACTGCTTTTCTTACATGTATGGAGCCATCCCTACGAGCCCTAGCGAGTCACTGTCGGCATCACCGGGCTGTCTCTCCGTCAGATGCAGCACCCTTGCTTGTTTATGCATCACGTCTCTGCAAGGCTGTCCCTGGCTAACGCTTTTCGGCTGCTTTTCCTTTATCCACGTCAACAGCAGCGTTCCTACCCCTTCGGCGGCCTGTGGTCATGGTTTCTTTCACACCCTTAGGAACATCAGCATCTTGACGGCCTCCTTATGATTAAAGTTGTGCTCATGGTTGATCTCCCGAAAACAAAAGCATTCTCTCCGGTTGGTTGCCTGAGATGCTTTTTGTCACGCTGAGGTCAGGTAGAAAACAGAAGTTTGGTTCAACAACTGGAGACATTTTATCTACGAACAACTTGGTAGAGAACAAATTATTCGAGATGGGAAACGATCGACAAACGAGTTTTTAAATATATTTTATTGATTTTTTTTTACAGAGAGGAAGGGAGAGGGATAGAGAGTTAGAAACATCGATGAGAGAGAAACATCCATCAGCTGCCTCCTGCACACCCCCTACTGGGGATGTGCCCGCAACCAAGGTACATGCCCTTGACCGGAATCGAACCTGGGACCCTTCAGTCCACAGGCCAACGCTCTATCCACTGAGCCAAACTGGTCAGGGCGACAAAAGAGTTTTGACTATACTGACACGAGACAACATGGATGAACCCCAAACTTCCTCACTGTCCCATTATGAGAATAAACAATCTTTTCTGTCCAAGAAGGGAGTGTAGGCAGACTCGTGTGACAGGCAGCTCCCTGGGGGCCAATCGCGCAAGACGGGGAGCCTGAGCTTCAATCAAGAGTGAGGGGCAGGTCACGTGCATCAGGCACAAAAGCCCGAGCGGAGGCGCCCAGCCTGCATGCTCCCGCCTGTGCATGCACCAATCCTGCAGGAGGAGGGACATCTGCCTTGCTGCCTGGCTCCCAGTGTCCTTTCAGTTCTACCAGGGCCCCTGATTTTGGGGGCTCATGCAGGATTCCATTGGTCACAACAGGGGGGCATTGGACCCCTCTCCTGAGGAGGTGCGCCCCACTGCCAAGTTGCGGCAGCCTCAGTAAGGAGGGACAGCCATTACCCCTGGGCCACTACGAGCTCGGATCGAGAGTCAGCCAGCAACATGAGAAGGGCCCAAGCAAGAACTGTGGCAATCAGGTAGGCCCATGCATGAGCCAAGGTGGGGAATTGGACTGAGTACTACTTTGGTGGCTGAGTATCCTCAGAAGTTGGGTATATGTGACTGCGATGTGTCTTGGACATGAAGCAAATGCGGAGTTCTGATCTGCAGGTTCTGTTCTCCCACAAGGGAAGCAGCCAGAGAGGGACGAAGTGAATCTCAGGGAATGCAAGAAATCTCCAATATGGAAGGTTGAGCACATAGTCATAAAGGACTTTCCGAGAATAGGAACCAAAAATTCTAGGTTTAGGGAATAGAATATATTCCCCAAACAGTCGACTGAAAGAATGCTGAGGTTCTGGGGAAGGGCAGTACCCAAACCAGGGACAGGAGATATTGCTCTGCTTCAGTGGTTTTTTTATACAGGGCATTCTGTGGTGTCTGTTGGTCATGCATGCCTGTATAAGTGTTTCTGTTGATGTTTTGTGTCTCTGTTGTTTGGTTTAATTTGTTTAAAGATCGGGCACGTCCTGCTTTGGGGGAGCCCAGCTACTGTGGCGGGGATGAACATGTGGCAGAGATGGCAGGAATGTCTCAGCAGCTGCCAAGAATTCTTAATCTTGGGGACTCTTCCTGCTCTCCCTCTTAGGGTGTCAGCCACCAGAAACTCATAGCTAGTGTGGTTTCTGTCTGTGTATGTGTAATGTAATTTTGGTTAATGAGTTACTTTGCTTGCTTGCTATATTTTAGGGAACTCGGTTAGTCATGGGGAAGTAGGGATTACAGGCGTGGGGAAGTAAGAAATGGGGACTAAGGTGGGACTCCATTGTTTGGGCAACAAGGTTAATGCTTCCATGATGGTGGGCAGTTCTTGAATGAGAATCCAAGGTTGACCCTCAGGTCCCGGAGGCATGTAACTTGAAACTTTGAGTTTGCTGGGTCAAATGGTAAAAATTATTCATCTGAGTTTGCCTCCTATGGAGAATAAGTATTGTTTGGTGGTCCACTGTAAAATGTGGATGGGTTAATCATACTTACTACTAGAGGCCCAATGCACGAAATTCGTGAAAAAGTAGGCTTTCCTTCCCCCAGTTGCCAGCACCGGCCTTCCGTCTGGCAACCAGGACCCGGGCTTTCCTCACAGCCCTGGCCTCGCCCAGAAAGTCATCTGGTCTAATTAGCATATTACTAGTTATTAGTTATTATAGATGACCAGCAAAGTCTTGTTAACTATACTCAAGATGAGTTAAAGGGATAGTTGAACAATTAGCTGCCACCAGCAGGATGGCATGGGAGAATACGTTGGCCTTGGATAGGATTCTGGAAGAAAAAGGAGGAGTTTGTGTATGTTGTACATTTGTCCCTGACAACACAGCCAGACAGAACCATCAGTAAGGCCCTACAGCAGTGGTTCTCAATCCTGGCTGCACATTAGAATCACCTGGGAATCTTTTTTAAATCCTGATTTCTGGGCCTCATCCTCCGGAAATTGTTTCTTTGTTACTAATGTTGTAGCCCCACCCCATAACAACGAAACAGAATTTCCGGAGGATGAGGCCCAGAAATCAGGATTTTAAAAAGATTCCGAGCACTGGGATTCTAATGTGCAGCCAAGGTTGAGAACCACTGCCCTATAGGGATTAACAACTCTAGCTAATGAGTGAGCAGGGAATCCTGAAACTGAGAATCCTTTCTCCGATTTAGCAATGGTTTGGAAA